CAGAAAGGGACCAGGGGGTTACAGTGGACGAGAAGCTGGATATGAGTCAGCAGTGTGCCCTTGTTGCCAAGAAGGCCAACGGCATATTGGGCTGGACTAGTAGGAGCACTGCCAGCAGATCAAGGGAAGTGATTATTCCCCTCTGTTCGGCACTGGTGAGGCCACATCTGGAGTATTGTGTCCAGTTTGGTCCCCCCACTATGGAAGGGATGTGGACAAATTGGAGAGAGTCCAGTGGAGGGCAATGAAAATGATGAGGGGGCTGGGGCACATGACTTACAAGGAGAGGCTTAGGGAACTGGGACTATTTAGTCTGCAGCAGAGAAGAGTGATGGGGGATTTGATAGCAGCCGTCAACTACCTGAAGGGGGGTTCCAAAGAGGATGGAGCTAGGCTGTTCTCAGTGGTGGCAGATGACAGAACAAGGAGCAATGGTCTCAAGTTGCAGTGGGGGAGGTCTAGGTTGGATATTAGGCAGAGGTGAAAGTAAGCCGGTACACCCCAGTGCACCGTACCAGGGCGGCCCGGCTTCCCCACTGCTGGAGCCCTGGGTTAGTGGTAGTAGGGCTCCGGGGACTATTTAAAGGGCCGGGGCTCCCTCTGCTTCTACTGCCCCGGTCCTTTAAATAGCACCTGGAGCCCTACTACCAGGTAGCAGCGGCAACCAGGGGCTCTGGCAACAGTTTAAAGGGCCTGGGGTGGTAGCTGCACCCGAGCCCTGGGCCCTTTCATAGAATCACAGGGTTGGAAGGGACCTCAGGAGGTCATCTAGTCCAACCCCCTGCTCAAAGCAGGACCAATCCCCAATTTTTGCCCCAGATTCCTAAATGGCCCCCCTCAAGGACTGAACTCACAACCCTCGGTTTAGCAGGCCAATGCTCAAACCACTGAGCTATCCCTCAGCTGCCACTGCTACCCTGGCCAGGAAGGGGAAGGGGGAGGGCACTTACCTGTACAGGGCGGGCCAGGGCTGGTTCTGATCCCCCTCCATCCCAGCCCCTTCCGCACGAGGCCCTGCCCCTTCCGGGGGCCAGAGCAGACCCCAACCCAGCCCTGTACCGGTAAGTCCCAATTTCTACTTTCACCCCTGATATGAGGAAACACTATTTCACTAGTTTCAGAGTAGCAGCCGTGTTAGTCTGTATTCGCAAAAAGAAAAGGCGTACTAGTGGCACCTTAGAGACTAACCAATTTATTTGAGCATGAGCTTTCGTGAGCTACAGCTCACTTCATCGGATGCATTCAGTGGAAAATACAGTGAGGAGATTTATATACACACAGAACATGAAAAAATGGGTGTTATCATACACACAGTAAGGAGAGTGATCACTTAAGATAAGCTATTACCAGCAGGAGAGTGGAGGGGAGGGGGGGAAGAAAAGCTTTTGTAGTGATAATCAAGGTGGGCCATTTCCAGCAGTTAACAAGAACGTCTGAGGAACAGTGGGCGTGGGGGGGGGGAATAAACATGGGGAAATAGTTTTTAAGGCCCGGCTTGACAAAGCCCTGGCTGGGATGATTTAGTTGGTGTTGGTCCTGCTTTGAGCAGGGGGTTGGACTAGATGATCTCCGGAAGTCCCTTCCAACCCTGATATTCTATGATTCTATGAAAGGTTGAGAACCTTTATATGCTTCACAAATGGTGTGGAATGGAATGGAATGCTAACTGTATTATACTGTCCAGCCACTAGGTGGTGGAATACTGTTAGATAAATGAAGAACTAAAGCAAAACCTTGTTTGACAAAAGCCGTGTGGGGCAGAAATGTTGGGGGTTTGGCTGTATGTGTCCCAGTCAACAGTCTTAAGTAAAGGACTTGTTCCTTTAGCTGTTGATGTAGCTATTCGTGAATGCAATCTGTCCTCCTGTAAGCTTCAGGCATTTTGTATTCCAATTGTATTGATTCCTGTACCTCTTTCTTTTGTCCTTTTGTCGGGCAAGCTGGAGGTGCAAAAATTGTTGTTGGACTTTTGTTACACTAAACACCCCTCTGCTCATAACCTATACGCGACTGCAATGATCTGTGTACAAAATATGCCGAGGTACCATTTGAAAACGAACCATTAACTGATCATTAATATTCATGCACGATATATGTATGCAGAGGCTATTAAAAGTTATGGCTATACGCTGGAATTATGACTAACGTGTGCTTAAACTAGGGAAATCAGGGGGTGTTGGTAAATAGGTTGCTTTAGACAAAGGCATGTGTATTTGATTCGCTGACCAGCGGAATCTTCCCACAAAGACAATGAAGGTCCATTTTTACATATTGGACAAGCACCGCTATTAAGCTAACAAGTGGGGGAAGAAAAAGCATGGAGCTTCCTTCACCACAAGACTGCTGGAATGAACTTTACATTGAGAGGGAACCCTCAGAAGAATCAATTTCAAATGTTTACTGGTCTATAAAGACAGGGGAGCTGAACCTCAAGTGATAAGCAATTGAATCAACTGTATATGATGTTACTGTATTATGAGAGTGAGATTTTTTTCTGAAAGCTAATACACAATGGTGATTAATATCACTGTGAAATGTACTTATTAACACTACATGAGGAAATCTGGATACTTAATGGTATTATCTTTTAAAGTCTCCGGCAAAACAGGTTCCACCCTGGACAGGAGAAAAAGCAGCTATTACCTGTCTGCTATGTAAATTAAGCCTGGAGGAATCAAAACAATGGAAGCTATGTATCCTTTACACACAAGGGGATAGCAGGACCACAGGAAGGGAAAAACAGCATGAGATCATCCTGTCTCTTGAAACAAGTTCACTGAACTTTGGAAGCTATAAGCAAGGACAGAAGCCATCTTTGGCATCCATCACTAGGCAGACATAAGGGAATAGAGCTCTTGAAAGCTGAGAAAGATGGGTCCTTCACCAAAGGAGGGGCTAAAGTCTCTGGAAAATGAATATAGGTGAGAAACCTGCTTAGGCAAAGGTTGTACCTTGCTAGAGTTCGCATTAGACTTTTAAATGGGTGTTCTCACTTTTGTTTTACTTGTAACCCTCTCTAACTGTATTCCTTTTACTTGGCATTACTTAAGCTGTGTCCTATTGTTAATAAATTTGTTTTATTTTCTTAGTTGGTTTATAGTGCGTGCTGTGTTTAAATGGGAGAGGGTATTCACCCCAGTTAAGTTAATAAGTTGTGATGTGCTTTTGTCTCTTTAGAGGAACAAACAACCCCTGTTAGTTCTCTGAACTGTCCAGGAGAGGGCTGGACATTGCAGATTACACAGTTTTGGAAAAATTTGGGACTGGGAGGGTGTTGGGGTCACATTTCTGGTTGTAACCAAGGCTGGTGGAAGCCAGTGTGGGTCTACAGGGCTATGTACAGGCTGCTGGGGCCACAGCAGCTGAACCACAGAACTTCTAGCACGCAGACACTCAGGGTGTAACCTGCACGCTTGTTGCCAACTGTTAGTATCCCAGGCAGGGAGTTACAGTAGCAAGGCATTGTGAGGCACTCAGGGTTACAGGGGAAGAGATCACACAACCCCTCACTGGTCTGTATTGCCCCCTGAAACCCTGTCACAACTTTATCTCATAGTCACTAGGTAGACAATGCAAACATGTATAGAGATCCTTTGCCAGACTGTTCCACAAGGGAAGAATGGGACTGATGCCAGATACAGAAATAAATATACCTTGGAGAAAAAGAGAAAATTTGAACTCAGAACATATAATAAAGAAATCAAAACAATTGAATGTTGGTAAAATAAGGAACTTCAAGACAGATATTTTACAATCTCACTGGAAGTGGGAAAAATACATGACGATTAGTCAAAAGCTATTAGTGGACCAAAATTTAGGAAGGGATCTAATAAAGATTTTGAATTCTACAGATTGCTAGGTCTATCCTATTAAATTGGTAGGGTCCAAACAGCTTTCCTCAGATGAAAATGTGTTGTAAAACTGTAAGGCTAAAGGAAAGAATAATTCAGCTCAGCATGTATTTCAGAGCTATTCGTTATACAGAGCCTTAGCTGGGCATTTCACTTTACAAAACAAATCGAGGTGGAGTTTCTACCCTCCAGAGTTAGATGTACATATGAAGGTAAACAGCATGGCAAAAATTCTACATGAGAAGAAGGTGCAAGATGAGATGGCTAAAATGTTGACACATCTCTAGTACAAAGTTTCTTCCAAACAGATTTTTAAATGGTACTAGAAATACTCTCAGAAAGGCTAAGGGTAAATTACGAAGGCTCGTTGATCTAGCAGAATGCTTCCTGAAGCTTCATGTAATGGCAGTAATATGAGACGCTAAGTAGCCAACTGGGCTTAAGTTCCACTTTCTCACTGTAACCAAGTTAAACACATTCATGGAGCTGTTTATGCAGGGAGCTGCACAATGAGACTCTGTAACATCCAAGTTGATGTATACCAGGGGTTCTCAAACTGGGGGTCGGGACCCCTCAAGGGGTCACAAAGTTATTACATGGGGGGGTCACGAGCTGTCAGCTTTTATAATGGTGTTAAATATATATAAAAGTGTTTTTAATTTATTAGGGGAGATCGCACTCAGAGGCTTGCTATGTGAAAGGGGTCACCAGTACAAAGGTTTGAGAACCACTGATGTATACATTTCATTGGGGATTACTGGTTTGTATGCAAAATAGTTGTTAGCGTGCTGTCTCAAATATGGTTGATACTAACAGTAATAAATACACATACTTAGCACTTCTCATTCATAGCTTTCCAAGCACTTTACAAAGGCAGATAAGCGCTATCCTTATTCAACAGATGGGAAACTGAGGCACATAAAAATGGCACGACTTGTCTGCCATCACATGGGCAGTCAGGGGCAAAGCTAGGAACAGAACTGAGATCTCTTGACTCTCATTCTTGTGCCCTGTCTTGAAACATCCTGGGGAATCTCAGAGAATTAACAGAGGGAGCAGCAGTATGTGGAAAAGCAAGATGAACATGAAAAAATACTTATGAAAAGGAAATAAAAACGGTCCAAATTTAAAAAAAGAAAGAGCCATTACCTTCCCGAAGCAAGAGGGCCTGTCCCACTTTGCTGTTGGGGGCTGCCAGATCAAGGGCACATTTGAATTCAGCATTTCTGCATGTCAAGCTAGCGCCATAGTCCATTAACAAGTTGACTGCTTCTGTGCTGGATTTCCTAACTGCAGCATGGAGTGGGGTGTCTAATCGTTTACCCAAGTCAACACTGGCTCCTTAAAAGAACACACACAGAGATAAGAATAGACCAGGGTTAGCATAAGGAGGAAGCAGGGAAATACCTGACTGGCTGAGTCTAAGATTTATATCACACATCATTAGCATCAATAAATTAAGTGCACCTGATGGCACACAGGACTTGCCATCTTCTCTTGATTATAGCAATGCTTTATATCCAGAAGTCACATGGCTACTATATTAGCATCAAGAGTAGCAGTAAGATGAGGAGGATGGAGAATCAACAGGAATTGAGCCAATGCTGAACTTTTTGACGACCAAATGAGTGGGTGTTTAAAATCTATAGTTGCTTCCAATCTGATTAATTCAAATGACCAGAAAAACATGTTTTTAACATTTAATTAAAATAACTTTGGAAGGTCCAGGAGTAAAATGCTTATCCTGGGCTGAGAGTAGTACCCAAAATGGGCCAGAGCCTTAGCTGGTGTCAATCTGCATTGGCTAAAACAAGCCACACCACCTGAGGTGCTGCCCTGCTGTGCGTGGGATCTTCATGATCACTAAAGGGATTATTCTTTTGAGTGGTTGGTTAGCTGATCTGCTCCCTCTGCATGTGGGGAGCAGTGGATGAGTGAATGCTTAGCGTGCTTGGCTATTTATTTTATAATAATCAAAAGGAGTTGATGCGGGTCACAGAGCAAACAATATACCAAGACAGTTTTTTGTTGCTCCTCTCATCATCTTCGAATGACAGAATCCGTTTTTTTATCCCAATCTCAAAATTCTTGGTCCTCCAAGGAGTCATGACGAATTAAATGCTAATATCAGGAGTGGAGAGGGATTAAGGAGAAACAATAGGGGGTGGCTTCAAATATGTTCAGCTTCCCCTCCTCTGCCCCCAGAGCACCTAGTTCGAGAAGCTTCTTGACACAGTCTGTCCTCTGATACATGCAGGCCACATAAAGGGGTGTCCCGTGCTGCGAATCTTCTTGGTCAATGTCAACGTCATTGGCCACAAGAATTTCCATACATTCCCTGTGACCTGGATAACACAGAAGAGAGGTCATCTCGCTTCAGTGCCTCTCGGCAGGATGCCCAACAAACACACCCTAGTCACATAGCGTTAGAACCCAATACACAGAACTCTATATAGAAGAGTATGGAATAAACCAAACACACATTTATCCCTCTGGCCCAGATACTTCAGGTGCAGATTAATTTCCCACAATTATTTAGGGAGGGAAAACAAAGCCAGATCTTTTTATCGTTAGCTGTACTCAGAGCCTTCTCATTACCTCTCTTTACTGTTTCATGAACAGGTGAAGCAAGGTGATTCTCTAGCTGGGGGGTGGCTCCGGATTCAAGCAGCGTGTTCACACAAGCTACACTGCCACTACAGCAGGCATTAAAGAGAGGAGTGATGCCATCGGTGCTGACTGCATTGACCTGAAACAGCAGGACAAACGGACAGTGCCCTGTTTCAAAAGGGCTGCGCTTCCGCGGGAAGCCACGCGCATCTCAACGCTAACTACAGCGTAAGAAGAAGACGACACTGATCTTACGTAACGTCAGAGCCCAGAGGAGTCACCAAATTCAGAGTGACACGCCGTAGAAGAGCCCGATACCCAGCAAGGGCTGCGCCCTGTTTCTCAGGGCAGCCTCAGCAACAGGACTCTGACACGGAAAATTGTACAAGCTCCTACGTAGAGCGGGCTGGAAAACAGGGATTTTTCCCACGGAAAATTGAGACTTTTCATGTAATCCCCCCAAATCGTTTTCAGACACCCCACCGCAACACAGCTGCAGTTTTCTGACCAAATCAAAACCTTGGAAGGAAAGCAAATACTTTGTGAACAGTTTTATTTAGTCAAACAGACCACCTAGCCCCGTCTGTTTCCTGCTCTCTCCAGTCTGGAAGCCACGCAGATGATCAGATTTCACTATCAGCGCTGTTGCATGATTCCCAGTTTCTCACGGAGATAAGGGCAGCTCTGCTGAAGAAACTGCCTGGGAGGGACTTGTTGCATAATGTGGATCTAGTCACTAGTGTGCTGTACATGGGGGCCTTCACTACAGCTTGCTACAGAATGGGAACTGGAGACCCCAGCTGGCCTTATGGAATAGGATGAACAGTTTTATTGCCCTCCCCTTATAATAGAGCAGCCAGATTCACAGTGACCCCTGTTTCCAACTCGGTCTCCTTTCAAGCTGTAGTTCTACAGTGGAATTAGGGCTGCCTAAAATTTTTCTTTGGAAGGTTTTCTTTTACTAATGGAAAATTGCATTTTTTTGACAAAAAAAAAAAAACTTAATAGGAGTTTTCTAGGAGAAGCTGTGTCCTACTTTATTGCCTTTTTGCAGTGCTGTGATCTTTTTAATTTCCTTCCCTACTGAGCCATGAATTCTGGAACAACCTTCCCAACATCCTTTCTTCTGTTACCAGACAAGTGAGTACCCATTGGAGAGGAGAAGCAGAGGGGCTGCTTCTTTGCTAGTGTTTTTGCTGGCATTTTGATGCCTGATTGGCTGAGTTGGCAGTCCCGTATGGAACGCTACCAATCAATTCCCAGTTGCTGGAGCAGCTTCAACAATGTCTACATGAGGGGATTATGCAGCTGTACGACTGGGTGCACAGTTTAGCTTTTTTCCAAGATGCTGAATATAGTTGTTTGAACTGCATATATTTTAATAATAAAAAGGCCATTTTCCAACTCTCTTCCAGACTGCCTACCTCCTATTTTGGAAACAGTACAGAATGGCGCTTTGTTTGGCTTCTGGGGAAAGGAAGGGCCTGGCGAAAGATGAGGGCCAAAAGGAACACAAGCACAGTCTTGAAGGGAACAGTATATCTGAAGGAAGAGACGACCATCATCTTGAATTCCTAAGCCCCACCAAACTGGTTCCCTATATGTGGTGCAGGGATATTTGCCCAGAGTGGTAAAATGAAGTCTAATGTGTTTTGAATGGCACTTCACCCAGCTGCAGAGCTCTACACCCAGGGAATAGGCTCAATGGCAGGGCCACGTCTACAATGGGGAAAAATCATCGTGTTAGAAAACTTGTTAACTACCATGATGTTAAACATGACTTAGCACTTAATGTAAATGAGGACAAGTCATGTTTAAACACCTGTTAAAATCACAGACCAGCTAATATGTGTTCAGCATAACTGTCCATGTCCACACTAAGGGCACAGTCGTATTGCAAGTTAAAAAGAGTTAGTGACTGCATTTCTAACATGATGCTTTCCCCCAGCCTAGACAAAGCCTTGCTGTGCAGCTCCTAAATGTTGATGGGCAGCCAATTTGTCTTGCAAAAACACTAGCAGAGCCTCTCCACTGGGTACTGACTTATCTGGTAATAGAGGAAGGAATTCTGGGAAGGTTGTTCCAGAGTAAATGGCTTTCTAGTGAAGAAAATGAAAAAGATCACAGTGCTGAAGAAAGGAAAGAGAAAGGGACACAGCTTCTTGTGTCCGTGACTATTAATTTATGTAAAGGAAAAGCCACTGACTAACTGAGACTGTATATAGCAATGAAGAATGGGAAAAGTTGAACAATAAGGATTACTTACTGACAGTGACAATTGATAGTTCAGATTTATGACTTTCTAGGAGCTAAAAAGATGTGTGATCAATACACTTCAATTTTTTTTAAACTGGGTAATTTCAAAAACAACCTGAAACTGAGTAATATGAAGATCAAGGTTTGTTTTTCCTGTCTAGGGGCTTAAAAGTTATTAAAAGTATAAAGAAAAGGAGTACTTGTGGCACCTTAGAGACTAACCAATTTATTTGAGCATGAGCTTTCGTGAGCTACAGCTCACTTCTTTTTGCGAATACAGACTAACACGGCTGTTCCTCTGAAACCTGTCATTAAAAGTATAGTTATTCTATAATCATATTCTTCTCTGCTAATGAATACATCAACTGTTGGACTGCTCTTGTTTGATTTCTTGCCACTCCACATGTAAATTGTTCAGCATAGTAATCAGGGGAACCTGTAAGCAGACCCAATGTAATAAATTCCCATAGATTTCATTATATTCCCATATTTTATTTTTAAATATATTTTTATATTAGGTCCAATGTGGAGAAAAGTTGCTCTTTTATTAGACAAAATGTTTCATTTCTTAAGCCCCTGTATGTGTAAATCCCAAACTATCTCAGAAAACTTGGAGCAATTCCAGCGACCATTCTGGAACGCAAAGCATTACTCAGCATCATAACAGTTAGCTTGGTCTAATTTTCCCGCACTGATCACAGTGAAGTTTCAGAGAAGAAAAACAAAGGAATATGTCTGCGATCAAAACAGCCACCAAGCTGTAAAAAGATGGGGCCCTTCAGGAGAAAAGCTACCACTACAGAAATGTAAGTAATTTATTATTAGTGAAAGCAAAATATTGTCCCCTTTTGTGGCCAGAATTTCTCTCTCTCTCACACACACACACACACACTCACAGAGTGAGAAGCATCCAATACATGTATGTCTCTTGGGAATCCCTGCTAATGCCAGTTGTGTCACCACGGTACCGATCACGTCACAGGGAAGTGTTGGCCTCGTTTATATGCCCGTACTCACTTGAGCACCGTTCTCCAGTAAGACTTTTGCACAAGCGACATGGCCACCCAGGCAGGCCTCGTGGAGAGCAGAAACCCGATCTATGGTTACAATGTTCACATTGAAACCCTAGAATTCAAAGCAAAGATGTGAAAAACAAACAAAAACCAAGCAATGCAAACATCATTCCTGGAGTTCATTCCAGGCAGGAGTTACATAGCTGTCAAGTCTACAGTCCTTGCTCTGGCTAAATTCCTACCGAAGTCCATGAGAGTTGCCCTGGAACACACCTGGCTCAGACAATAACTCTGATACTGCAGCTCTTGCATCCATCACTACTGGAAGGGATTTAAAGCAAAAGGTAAAGAAACTGAGTGATGCTTATCTGTGTTGCTTCATAATTCATGGTAGATTGCAGGAGAGACACTGTATGTCTTTGGCCTCCGGTCACTGAGATTAATTTCCCTATTCCCAGATATGAAAAGGTGCCTGTGATCATAAGCTACATTTTTTATCCGCAAAATGAGCACTCTGACCAGGAGTGTGATTTGTTTCCTGAGTCACGTGGTGCTGTTTCTTCTCCCTGGTTGTTTATCAACCTGATTAAAGAGGAGTAAAGAATACTGAATAGCAAACACGCTTTATAAGTGTTCCATTAACAGCTGTATGAACTGAAACCAGCCATGCAAACACTCACAGGGGGAAAAGCAGCGCAAATATGGCTGGCTCCAAACATGACTGGGACTTTGGTGTACGTCTTCCAGACTATAGTTCCATCAAATGACAAGTAAGAATTCATGCACATGTACATTGGAAATCAGTTCTCTGGAACATAATCCAAACTCTGACGTTCCAAATGCAGTATCTGTAAGTATATCATGCTCGGGTCTCCCCCCCCCCCCCCCCCCCAGGGGGGGGGTTTTTTTTTTTTAAAAATTTAGGGAAATATTTTAATGGACCCCCACCCCCCTGGGTTAAACAGTCACAATACCCTCTAGCTCAACAATTTAAACTAGAAGAAGTGAATATTTTTAAATAAACAATTCTCTTAAAATTAAACGCTTTGCTGGCTCATGTCCATATGAGGGAAACATGTAAGAGAATTAACATGAAGCTCAATATTCCTTTTGCACCTGATGTGACCTTCCTAAAATTACTCTATTTTATAGCTTTACAGTAGGAGTGCATTCACTGCACAATATACCCCCCCCCCGCCACCCCCCCCGCCATAGGAAGGAAAGGTGCTGTACAAATCCTTTGTGTGAAGAAAAGAAATGGAGGTAGTGATACAGCATTAAAGCAATACACCGGAGTTAGATATATATACACCTAACACATGAAAACAGTAATCCAGTGAAAGGAAACATACCCCATCTATTGAAAACTCAAGTAATCAATTTCATCAGTAAAAAAATGCTTAAACTAAGAACTAGTAGCCCTGACTTTAGATAATGGTGTCCAGCCCTTCCCATCAGAAGAAACAGTTGATCATAACTTTGCCAAACTTCTTTGAAAATCCAGCCACTTATTTAGGTGCCTCAACAAGAACTGGGTGGGTGCTGAACTCTTGAAAATCTGGCCCTTAGCTTCCCGGCCTTGACAGGTAGGAGTTTTTAAAGCACCTAAGTGATTTAAGTGGACAAGTTCCACTGACTTTCCATGGCACTTGTGGTCTTAGGTCAGTAAGTGACTTCATCTTTGAAACCACATCTTAAAAAAAAGTGTTTGGATTTCTTTTAAAGTAAAGATACCTGTTTAATTCGAACGTCAAGGCAAACTGCATAGGCAGCTTGACAACAGTGAGCAATGCCTATGCTATAGCATGTGCAGCTTTACCCCATAATTCATCTTGCTGCTGTGGATCAACCCCATTCCGCTCCCTTCAGTGATTACTCCCTTGACTAGCTTTACCAACTGGAAGTCCAGTCCTGCATTGCTGAAATCAATGGCTTCCAGCAGTGATGAGCTGCCAAAATCTTAACAACCGGTTCCCTCCTCACCCCACGAGGGGGTTGTGGCCCACCCCCGCCCCCCCGGGACTTCTGCCCCATCCAACCCCCCGTGTTCCTTGATGCCCCCCCAGGACCCCTGCCCCATTCACCCCTTCCCCTGTCCCCTGACTGCCCCCAGAACCAGGCAGGAGGGTCTCGTGGGCCACCATAGTGGGTGCCCACCCTGCCCCTAAGAGCCAGAGGGACCTGCCGGGGGGCATGATGGGGAGTCCTGGCAGTGCTTACCTGGGGCAGCTCCCAGGAAGCATCCAGCAGGTGCCTCTGGCTCCTAGAGGGGGGGTAGCATAGTTGGGGGGGGAGCAGGGGGAGCGACCGCTCCCCCCACATCAAAAGTGGCACCTTAGGCGCCCACTCCGTGGGTGCTTCGGGGCTGGAGCACCCACAAGGAAAATTTGGTGGGTGCAGAGCACCCACCAGCAGCTCCCCGCCCTGCGCCCGGCCCCAGCTCGCCTCCGTCTCTGCCCCTGAACACACTGCCCTGCTCTGCTTCTCTGTCCCCCTTTCCCCCCCCATTTCCCGTGAATTAGCTGTTTGCGCGGGAAGCCTGGGAGGGCTGAGAAGCAGGAGGCAGCTTCGCACTCAGGCCCAGCGAGGCGGAGGCGAGCTGGGGCCAGGAGTGGTTCCCCTGCGCGCCCCCCTCGGGTTGCCTGCTGCAGTGCGGGCGGCCCTCCTCTCGCCCCTTGCTCCAGCTCACCTCCGCTCTGCCTCCGCCTCCCTGAGCCTGAGCGTGAGCCACTGCCTGCTTCTCAGCCCTCCCAGGCTTCCTGCGCGAACAGCTGATTCGTGGGAAGCTGGGGGAGGGGACAGAGAAGCAGAGCGGGGCGGCGCATTCAGGGGAGGAGGCGGAGGCAGAGCCGAGGTAAGCTGGGGCTGGGTGGGGAGCTGCCGGTGGGTGCTCTGCACCCACCAAATTTTCCCCATGGGTGCTCCAGCCCTGGAGCACCCACGGAGTCGGCACCTAACGCACCACTTTTGGCCAGTTGTTAAATTTAGAAGCCCTTTTAGAACCGGTTGTCCCAACCAGATCTAAAAGGGTTTCTAAATTTAACAACCAGTTCCAGCGAACCGGCTCCAGCTCACCACTGGCTTCAAGGCATGCAGAATCAGACTAGAGATGCAACCATAGATTAAAAAAAAGTAATCCCATGATTCCCATCTCCTTTTCTTCCATCATCCCTATTCCTATAAACTTAGGTTGTAAAGTTCTGCAAATCGGGTACTGTGATTTTTCTATATTCTGCAAAGTACCAAGAACACTTCAAGTACTACAAGTATAATGATGCACCAGGGACTAGGCATGCGGATTCTGTTCTATTCACGTTCTGGCACTTCACCTATTTCTGTAGTATTTGAGTAGCTTCCAATGACGCATCAAGTCATGTGCTTAGCGTCAGTCATGGGTTGTTCTTTCTTCATTCCTCCCCGCAGGGAGAAAATTGTGTTTGTTTTAAACTATGTGCTATGTGCTTTTATTTGTGAAATTGCTGCATGTTTTAAAGAAGTGCCATTAAGTAAATCCATATTTCGGCATATCTAAGGGAAAAAAAATCATGTTCACAGCTGCAGTCCAACAGCACTTCTTCAATATAGTACCATATGATCATCATGGCAACCTGAAAAACTAGAGCCAGAAAGAGAGAGCTGAACAAGTGAGCCATATTCCTTATCACTTGCACCCTTCATTTCCCCCTCCACAATGTACTTTTCCCTCCTACCTTAAAAATTACTTGAAGTTGGAGGGCTGGTAAAGAATGATCGAGAACTAAGAGCAATGTAGAGGTTCCCATTTGGGCTGGAGCCTGGACTCTGGGACCTTCTCCCCTTGCAGGGGTTCAGAGCTTTTGGAATTGGAAAAGGTTCAGAAAAGGGCAACAAAAATTATTAGGGGTATGGAACAGCTTCCATCTGAGGAGAGATTAATAAGACTGGGACTTTTCACCTTAGAAAAGAGACGACTAAGGGGGGACGTGATAGAGGTCTATCAAATCATGCCCGGTGTGGAGAAAGTCAATAAGAGTGTTATTTACTCCTTCTTATAACACAAGAACTAGGGGCCACCAAATGAAATTGATAGGCAGCAGGTTTAAACCAAACAAAAGGAAGTATAGGGAGGTTGTGGTCTCTCCTTCCTTAGAGGTTTTTAAGGTTAAGCTTGACAAAGCCCTGGTTGGGATGCTTTAGTTGCGGATTGGTCCTGCTTTGAGCAGGGAGTTGGACTAGATGACCTCCTGAGGTCCCTTCCAACCCTGATATTCTATTATTCTATTTCTTCACACAATGCACAGTCAACCTGTGGAACTCTTTGACGGAGGATGTTGTTAAGGCCAAGACTATAACAGGGTTCAAAAAAGAACTCGATAAGTTCCTGGTGGATAGATCCATCAGTGGCTATTAGCAAAGATGGGCAGGGATGGCGTCCCGAGCCTCTGTTTGCCAAAAGCTGGGAGTGGGCAACAGGGGACGGATCACTTGATGATTACGTGTTCTGTTCATTTCCTTTGGGGTACCTGGTATTAGCCACTGTTGGAACACAGGTTACTGGGCTAGATGGACCTTTGGTCTGACCCAGTATGGCCGCTCTTATGGGCTGTTCTATGGAGTACTCTGTAATAAATTAAGGCCACCTTTTGTCCTTGACAGTTGGTACAGTGGCCCCGGAGCATCTCCTATTTTCTACTTTCTGTAGAGATCACTGAAAGAGAGATGTCTTGTAACATATCAGAGGCATAAAATACATTAGCTCACAGGCAGGATCTGGCTTCCTAAAAGTATTTATATGACTCATATGACAAATTCCAATTCCTCAGAATTCAACCATTCATTGAGAGAAAAGTTTTGAGACTTTATGGCAGTGAAAAAATCCTTCCAAATGTGAATTGAATGTAACTGATGCAGAGTAGCAGCCATGTTAGTCTGTATTCGCAAAAAGAAAAGGAGTACTTGTGGCACCTTAGAGACTAACAAATTTATTAGAGCATAAGCTTTCGTGGGCTACAGGTCACTTCATCGGATGCATTCAGTGGAAAATACACTGAGGAGATGTATATACACACAGAACAAGAAACAATGGATGTTACCATACACACTGTAACGAGACTGATCACTTAAGGTGAGCTATTACCAGCAGGAGAGCGGGGGGGGCAGGGGCGGGGAAACCTTTTGTAGTGATAATCAAGGTGGGCCATTTCCAGCAGTTGACAAGAACGTCTGAGGAACAGTGTGTGTGTGTGGGGGGGGGGGGAATAAACAAGGGGAAATAGTTTTACTTTGTTTAATGACCCATCCACTCCCAGTCTCTATTCAAGCCTAAGTTAATTGTATCCAGTTTGCAAATTGATTCCAATTCGGCAGTCTCTCGTTGGAGTCTGGTTTTGAAGTCTTTTTGTTGAAGAATTTTAACTTTTAGGTCTGTAATCGAGTGACCAAAGAGATTGAAGTGTTCTCCAACTGGTTTTTGAATGTTATAATTCTTGATGTCTGATTTGTGTCCATTTATTCTTTTACGTAGAGACTGTCCAGTTTGACCAATGTACATGGCAGAGGGGCATTGCTGGCATATATCACATTGGTAGATGTGCAGGTGAACGAGCATCTGATAGTGTGGCTGATGTGATTACGCCCTATGATGGTGTCCCCTGAATAGATATGTGGACACAGTTGGCAACGGGCTTTGTTGCAAGGATAGGTTCCTGGGTTAGTGGTTCTGTTGTGTGGTGTGTGGTTGCTGGTGAATATTTGTTTCAGGTTTGGGGGCTGTCTGTAAGCAAGGACTGGCCTGTCTCCCAAGATCTGTGAGAGTGATGGGTCGTCCTTCAGGATAGGTTGTAGATCCTTGATGATGCATTGGAGAGGTTTTAGTTGGGGGCTGAAGGTGATGGCTAGTGGCGTTGTGTTATTTTCTTTGTTGGGCCTGTCCTGTAGTAGGTAACTTCTGGGTACTCTTCTGGCTCTGTCAATCTGTTTCTTCACTTCAGCAGGTGGGTACTGTAGTTATGAGAATGCTTGATAGAGATCTTGTAGGTGTTTGTCTCTGTCTGAGGGGTTGGAGCAAATGCGGTTGTATCGTAGAGCTTGGCTGTAGACAATGGATCATGTGGTGTGGTGTGGTCTGGATGAAAGCTGGAGGCATGTAGGTAGGAATAGCGGTCAGTAGGTTTCCAGTATAGGGTTGTGTTTATGTGACCATCGCTTATTAACACTGTAGTGTCCAGGAAGTGGATCTCTTGTGTGGACTGGTCCAGGCTGAGGTTGATGGTGGGATGGAAATTGTTGAAATCATGGTGGAATTCCTCAAGGGCTTCTTTTCCATGGGTCCAAATGATGAAGATGTCATCAGTGTAGCGCAAGTAGAGTAGGGGCGTTAGGGGACGAGAGCTGAGGAAGCGTTGTTCTAAGTCAGCCATAAAAATGTTGGCATACTGTGGGGCCATGCAGGTACCCATGACAGTGCCGCTGATTTGAAGGTATACATTGTCCCCAAATGTGAAATAGTTATGGGTAAGGACAAAGTCACAAAGTTCAGCCACCAGGTTAGCCGTGACATTATCGGGGATACTGTTCCTGACGGCTTGTCGTCCATCTTTGTGTGGAATGTTGTTGTAGAGGGCTTCTACATACATAGTGGCCAGGATGGTGTTTCCAGGAAGATCACCGATGGATTGTAGTTTCCTCAGGAAGTCAGTGGTGTCTCAAGGATAGCTGGGAGTGCTGGTAGCGTAGGGCCTGAGGAGGGAGTCTACATAGCCAGACAATCCTGCTGTCAGGATGCCAATGCCTGAGATGATAGGGCCTCCAGGATTTCCAGGTTTTTGGATCTTGGGTAGTAGATAGAATATCCCAGGTCGGGGTTCCAGGGGCGTGTCTGTGCAGATTTGTTCTTGTGCTTTTTCAGGGAGTTTCTTGAGCAAATGATGTAGTTTCTTTTGGTAACCCTCAGTGGGATCAGAGGGTAATGGCTTGTAGAAAGTGATGTTGGAGAGCTGCCTAGCAGCCTCTTGTTCATATTTCGACCTATTCATGATGACGACAGCACCTCCTTTGTCAGCCTTTTTGATTATGATGTCAGAGCTGTTTCTGAAGCTGTGGATGGCATTGTGTTCTGCACGGCTGTGGTTATGGGGCAAGTGATGCTGCTTTTCCACAATTTCAGCCCGTGTACGTCGGCGGAAGCACTTTATGTAGAAGTCCAGTCTGTTGTCTTCCTAAATCTATGGACATCCTGAAAGAACAGCTCTAAGCAAAGTGAACTCCCCCCATTCAGCAAAACCGAGAGCTAACTCTTAAGCCTTATGGTGTGAATTTAAAAAAATAGTTTTTCAAATAACTTAAGCTTGCAATTCGCACAGTCACCACAAGACAGTGTCTGTGCACGTATGCATACAAATTGAATAAATGCACGTAAATGACCAAACAAAAGACAGACAAAGCAATGAGGCATCGTGCATCATTTTTCCCAGTGCGTGATCTGAATGAAATTACTTCAGTTAAGGTACTAAGAGTTTAGTTACTGCATCATGGTCATGTTTTACCCTTCATCATTGTAAATACCACTGTTGTTTTGTTGTGGATCAATGGTGGGATATGGCCCTAACTTTGTTGGTCTGGCCCGTAAACCATAATTCAAAATGTCTTATGGCCCTCGTCACAGAAAGAGTTGGACAGCCCCGGGAGAAATAAGGAATGAAGAGATGAATCTTGAGCACCAGTGACTGATGTCACACTTTGGCAATGTCTACACTTTGAGCAAGGGGTGATTCCCAGCTTGTGTAGACTTTCTCACGCTAGCTTGAGGGAGACAGTGCAAGCATCAACAGTATAGTCGCAGCAGCACAGATGGAGTACATATCCATGAGTTCAACCTGGTTTGTACGTGGCTCAGCTAAGCCAGGCCACAGCTCCCACTTCCCATGCTACACTGCTATTCATATGAAGACCAGTTCTCCTCAAGCTGCCATGAGTAGGTGGTAGTGGGCAGGGAATCACAACGCCTGGAGTGTAGACATTGCCTTTGACTCTGATAGATCAGAACATAAATAATTTTTGAAACCTACTGCTGTGCAGAAAAAGGAAAATTTTCTTTTCTTCCACTACAGCATCCACTAAGTCCCAGAGACCAGCACAATTAATCCAAGTCGTGACCAAACAGTGAACACTGGCTGCCTTTGCTAAAAGATTTTAAATGTTTCCCACTGCTTGGAATCCTACATCTGTATTATGACAAAATAGACTGCACTTGGACTCAATGGACCATCTCCTTGGTAGCAGATCATTTTCAGGAAGGGAGAACCAATGTGTTATCCTTCCAGGTTGCATTTTGGTTAATTGTTCTCCTAGAGTTTCTAACTATAATCTGCTCCTCGGACCTATCCACTATCCCCTTTCTCCTCTTGTTCTCCTTGATCCTTTTTTCCTCCCCACTTTTGCCCATCTGGATCTGTGGCTTCAGTGGGTGTGGAGGCCGTACAGCACCTCACAGGACTGGGAGCTTGTAAGCTGCTCTGTGGCAGGGAACACGTCTGGCTCTGTTTTATAAGGCAACATACACATTTGCAGCCTTACAGAAGTGTAATACCTGATCATTAATACAGGATAAATAATTTTGGTATCTTTATATTCAAGTCCTTTGAAGCCTGTTTGTATTGTTTGCCTTTGAAAACAAACCCAAAGATCATGTTTGCTTATTATAACTCAGTGTGATCTGTGGCCTTTGTTTTGAGCTTACCCCCAACATTTAATATGACAAAATGTGTCCAGTATATCTTTTTATTTAGAACCGTAACTCTATGTCTTAGAGTGCCCGCTATAATCTATCACATCATTCATGGTTAAGATCTAACCAAAAAAATCCTGAGGCCTACCTAACCTTTTATTTATTTATTTTTGGTTTCTTACCTGTGCAATCAACGTTTTCAAAGATAGCAGGCGCCCTTGGAAAGCAGCTTCATGAAGAGGAGATCGATCTGCCCATGAACCTAAAACAGCCCAAGAGTTCATTCAAAGGCATTTCAAAGGCACAGAGACATCAAGATACAAACAGTTCCAAAAAAATCACAAGACAAATTATTACACACATCCCCCCCTTATCTATTTGGGACGATTGTTTAAGATGTGTCAGTGTTGGCCTGAAACCAACAAAGTGAGATTGCCTACAAAAATTGATTTCAGTGGGAACTGCTGCACACCCAGTGTTTCTGAAAATCAGGTCACTTATTTAGAAACCTAAGTAAAGCCTTATGGCAGGGATTTTTAAAAGTACCGATGTGAGTTAGCAGTACAATGTCATTGAGACTCTGGGACAATCTTCAAAATCCTGCACCTTTTTTTTTTTTAAAGATATCTTGGCCACAGGCTTTATTGGGTAACTTAAATTTTGTCACAAATTTGCTCTATGGGTTTGTTTTCACTTTGTTATGAGATGTATTGCATGCAAACACTAGCTGAGCTTTGGGGGTGACATGTACATCAAGCCAATTCTAATTTGTCCCCCGCAATTTTTTCTCTGAAACTAATACATACTATAAATGTGTCTACCTTTCCCACTTATACACATTAGCAGATAATAGTATTTTTTTTTCTCTCCTCACTTGAAGATTTCAGAGGAACATGAAAAAATACACTCTGCCAGGTGCTTGATTCCTGCTTTTCTACATCATTTTGAACAACAAACTTCTCAATGCTGGCTACTTTGTCTTAGTTTGTCTTCCCCCCGCCCATTTTTGGTCCCACTTCAATAGAGCTGCTACCAACAGATTTATACATGTTCAGCCAAGCAGATCATTACAAAAGTTATTTTAGCTAGAGTGATTCAGGCAGAGAGAATTTACTGGCCACAGTTTAGCATCTAAAACCAAACTGCCTCACAATTAGAGCTGGCAGAAATCTCAGATTTGTGGGAAATTTTGACATTTTGAAATTTGGTTTCAGTCCAGTTCTCATCAGAACCACATTTTTTCCGTATTTCCCAATCTATTCTCTGCCTCCCCACCCAGAGCTGTCTCTCATCTCATCCGCTCTGCATTTCAATCAGGCAGCTTCCCCCTCCATGTTGCCTGAGCCCAGCAGAAGGCCACTAAGGGTATGTCTACACTGCAGTTAGACACCTGTTGCTGGCCTGTGCCAGCTGACTCAGGCTTGCAGAGCTTGAGCTAAGGGGCTGTTATATTGCAGTGTACACATTGCGCTTGGGCTGCAGCCTGAGCTCTAGGACCCTCCCGCCTCACAGGTCAAGCTCCAGCCTGAGCCCAAATGTCTACACTGCCGTTAAACAGCCCCTAAGCCTGAGCCCTGTGAGCTCAAGTCAGCTGCCACAAGCCAGCCATAGATTTTTAATTGCAGAGTAGACATACCCATTGAGCACAGAAGAGACAAGCTCCCAGCCCTCAGTTTCAGTCACCAGTCCCAACCGAGTCTGCAGTGGCAAGGTTACAATGCCAAATTTGGGCAGACTTTCACAGGAATGGCAAAAGGATACAAAGGACCATCCTGCCAGATTGCGAGTCCTTGCTCCAAAGTGTGGGAGCACTAGTTCTTCTCAAATAAAAGGCCACCCAAATTTTTGAACACAGGCAGAACAATGGATTTTTCCCTAGCCTTGCTCTCAGAAAATGCTGAAACGTTTTGGCTGCAAGTTATGTATGTATATGTACACATACTCTATTCACCCTGAGGCAGACACCTGACATGAAAAATTTCAGTCTGAACAGTTAAAACTTTGGCAAAGTTATATAATGGGAAGCAGCCAGCAACCTTAATAATAGACGGTGCTTCCACCCCCAGCTCTAATTAACCTAACACACACACACACACACATGTGCTGCATATACAATCATTTCACACACGTCTATACTGTATGTATATATTTACACACTTCATGTTACATAAAGCAGGCACTCTTCTCACCATGAGAATGCACACACATATTTCCATGTCAGCTACAGCAACATACCTCCCTGAAACGTGTGGCAAATGTAGTTCCCATAAAGGGCGTCTCTTAACTCGCCGGTTACCAAAGGCATGTCTGAAATTTTATGTCCTTTCTAAGTTTCTACAGATAATTTAAGCAGCTCGGCTGCTGCTTCTCTCAACATTGCTTTTACTTTAGGCTGTGACACTGTATCTGTAATCCAATCTAGTGCCCAGGCAATAACATCACATGACCTTTTGTTTTGAAAGATTATCCTTGATGGCTATTTGCAAATGGCAACCTGCAGATAAACATATGATGGAGTCCTGGTAACTTTGTATGCACTTAGATAAAGAATCTGTATACAGGTGGGAAAAGCCAATTATCAAATATTTCACAAAATTTAAATTAAGGCATATGTAATAAGTACTTAGTCAATAAATTAACAGTACTCTTTTCTAATAAACCATACGATAGATTCTAACACATTGCAGAGATGGGGATAAATAACTATTTAGTCTGCTTTATATGAGCTTGGTAATAAGTTGCTGAATCTTCACTTTGGCCCAGATTCTGATACTCTTACAATGAGTTGTCATCTTACACTGCAAATAGTTCCTCTCGCTTCCATAGGACCACTCACAGAGTAAGACTGAAGTTTTCCATGTCAGGTGTCTGCCTCAGGCTGAATAGAATATGTGTATATATACACATCCTGAGTAAGAGTCTCAGAGTCTAGCCCCTAATAAGAATGATGTCACTAAATACTGTGTCTTTATGATTTAATTAGGAAATCAATTACTGGTTAGCAGTTATTTTTAAAGCCATAACACACTTTAATTAAAAGTGACAGGTTTCAGAGTGCTAGCCATGTTAGTCTGGGTCAACAAAAAACCACTGAGGAGTCCTTGTAGCACGTTAGAGACTAACAAATTCATTTGGGCTACAAGGACTCCTCGTTGTTGTTTTTTAATTAGAAGCGTTACTTTTGTGTTAATTCCTAGCAATGCACTATTGTGACAAATTCGTTTAAGTCTGTAGAAACAGTATTTGGAAAGAAACAAATGGGAAAATGACTCTTTGGAGGCCCATTACGTATAGTCATTTCCATACTTTTGGTCTCACAGGAATTTTAGCTATGCTCTTTTTTATGGTCTGGTTCAAAAGAACATGGACACTAGACTTAGATCCAGTCAGGCATTAATTACACCCTTCCTGGTATCTTTCTGCAGAAAACCCACAGTCTAAACCTCTTCCCTAAATGCTCTCTGGTTGTAAACTAGGATACATAGTAAAACCCTTGTCACTCACACAGTTGACTCTGACAAGTTCTTTGCTTCCCAAAGCAAACTTCTTTATTTACTTTACTATTATTCTATATTTACTATACTTAAACAAGTGTTGTTTACAGTCAAGCTGGCTAACTGATAGAGAGTCATATTTTGCACAGTGGTTAAAATCTAATTTCTCAAGGCATAAAACTTAGAACACAGCTCAATTCGTTAGTGCCCATAATTAACATTTTACCTGGCGCTATTCCATAGATCTCTTCTGCTATCCTGGCAGCCTCTTTTCTGTTGCCTTTAACAATATAGAAGTGGGTCAGCAGAGCCAAAGAAATCTTAATTAAAAGCTTGAAGCAAAATAAAGCAAAGATTGCAAAATAGATGTTGTTAAAAGCATGGAGTATAGAATTGCCCTCCATTTTGGCTTGCTCTTTGAAGTTTCCCAGGTCTGCTAAGTTTCACCAGGCTATAACTGGTATCATATGACATCTATTTTCAACCCTCCAGCACTTGCTGTTCCTCAGTTACCAAAAATACATTCCATTTTTATTCTGGGACAGCCACTGATGTTGAATAACAATGCTGGGTATTAAATCATTTCATGGTTTCATTGGGCTGTAATTATGTCAAGTACTGACATTTTCCCATCTCTGGATGACAGAAAACACTATGTGGATATTCACTACAAATACCATGATGCACACTGAAGAAACCGAAACAATGGTTTTCATAATGTATAGGTGTAATCTTTGAAAATTAGAGATGTTACCTCTCTGGTATTAGGTTGACTTTTCTTTTCCTGAGAGGCACATGGCTCCTCTACAGAGCAAAGCACTTTGGCAGTATGTATTTAGGTGAACGCACAATCCTCCCATTATTTAAGTTCCTCTTAAAAACCACTTCTCCCATAAGTCCCAGAGGTGAGTTTATGATGTAAAAACCCCAAGTCATTAAGCCAACCAACCCTCCCACTCATGTCCCAGTGCTTCCCAATTTGTGTGTCTGTGGTAGGGTCCAATCCTGCAAAGGGATCTGCATGGGCAGGCAGGACTTTATGCTAGCTCAGCATCCCAGTCAATCTCCTTGAGGGTAGGGGAATATGTGTGTGTGTACTCAATATCCCCACACACTTCGTCAGCACTAATCAAATAAATAATATCTGGGGAGGGGAATAGTCTAGAAACGAGGAATGAACCATCTCACTCCTTCCTGCAAGTTCACCTGTAGCCCAAGCGCAGAGAAAGACTGGAGCCTTCAGTGAACTTGGACCTCAAAGGTCATACCAGCTGTGGAGAAAGACCTCCCTTCTTAAAGATACCTCATAGTTGGACATGTGGAACAAAATATTACAGTGAATTATTTCCCTGACAACTTCAAGTGCAGTTATTTGGTTTCCCCCTTCTCCTCCCAACTCTCCAGCATTCCAACTATCCCCATGTCATGCTTCAGCACCTCAGTCTCTCAGCTACCACTAGAATAAAAAATACAGGTACTTGCCCGCTGGTGTTGGGATCCCAGTGACTAGCACCCCTTACAGTGACTGCTTAGACAGACTGATAAAAGGGGAGGAGAAAAGAAAAACTGTTTGGTGGGGAAAAAAAGCACAATTCAAGTGAATCAGTCTGTCACCTTTGAAGCTAACTGTGATACTGTAAAGAAGTTTAATATGCGCCACATGTTAATAAGAAAGGAAGTGTTTATGCACACCACCTGCTTTCCCTCTCACAAGTGCATAACTACTGCAATGGTTCACCTGGATAAGTAAAATAATGTATTATCAGCTAACTTAATGCAGTTTAGCAAATGAAAATAAGGGGAAGAGCCAGTCATGTGACCAGCCAGCTCTCCACAGACCAGTGTCTGAGAACTGCTGCAACAGAGAATATAAATGGTTACTTACTGTAACTGTGGTTCTTTGAGATGTGATGCAGATGTTTATTCCACTTAGGTATATGCACACCTAGCGCACTGGAGCCAGAGAATTTTGCCTAGCAGTACCTGTAGAGGGGCGGCACCCATGCCTCATGGCCCTAGCCCCTCCCCGGGCTATATGAGATGGCACTGCCTCAATGCCCCTGAGTTCCTGCACACCAAACACCCCGACAGAGACCAAATTCTGATGCAGAAGGGACAAAGAGTGGGTTAGTGTGCCACTGCACCCCATATTCTTCATAATAGTATGATTGTGATATGATTATAACATAATTATGATGCATCTGCTATAAGTTATGTCATCTAAGGTGCCATGGAAAAGTTATGATTTGCTGAATATGATTATCCTACTTGTATGCATGTATCATTTTTGAATCTGAAGTTATGAATATTAACTATGTATCTGTATTTCAAATGTGTTTATTCTGGGTGACATCCACAACTAGCCTTTCAGGTACAACAATGAAGAAGCCAGACAGGGCTGACGGCCCATCAGCAAAGACAATGGACTATGGGAGAGCTTAGCCTTCTTGTGAACGTTTCAGTCAGCTTGTAAGTAATGGCTACTATGACTCTGCAAGGGCATGTGACCAGACCACATGATCCTGAGTTCCATTTGGGTACCTGTATTTTTCCACAAGCTGGACTGGGAACTGTGTTTTGAAACAAACCGTTCCTGCCCTATGGTAAAGCTATATAAGGTGAGGTGTGACATCATCTAGTGGCAGAGGTGAAAGTAAGCCGGTGCGCCGTACGAGGACCAGCTTTCCCAGACAGCAATTTAAAGCCCTGGGGTAGTGGTGGCAGGCCTGTGGTGGGGATTTAAAGGGCCCCGGAGCTCCAGCTGCCATTACTGCCCTGGCCCTTTAAATCCCCGCCTGAGCCCTGCTGCCCGAGCCCCAGGGTAGCGGTGGTAGTCGGGAGCCCCCAGGGCTCTTCAGTGATTTAAAGGGCCCTGGGCTCCGCTGCAGTAGCAGCAGCTGGAGCCCTGGACCCTTTAAATCGCCCCCGAGCCCTGGGACTCCCAGCTGCCTCTGCAGCTGGTAGCTCGGGGGTGATTTAAAGGGCCCCGGGCTCCCAGCAACCACTACTGCAGCTGGAGCCCTGGGCCCTTTAAATCAAGATTTAAAGGGCCCAGGAATTTAAGGCCCTGCCTCTTCTGGTTAAGGCCACGCCTCTTCCAGTTGAGGCCACTCCCCTGCTCAGGTCTCCGGTGTACCGGTAAGTCCTCTAACTTACTTTCACCCCTGTCTAGGGGCCGCATTCTCAACACAAGAGAACTCCTGAAAACACCTTAGGAACAAAGGCTGAACTAGGGGAAGTACTGGTCCCAGACTAAAAGGATTTCTAGCCTGTGTATGGAAACCTGGTGGACTGCTTGTATCATCAGCCAGGGTGAGAAATTGATAATTTATATCCAATCTACCTAATATTTTAGGTTTAGTTTGTGTTTTGTTTACTTTCCTGGTAATCTACTTTGGTCTGTTTGCTATCACTTATAATCAATTAAAATCTACCTTTTTTATTTAATAAACTTGTTTTTTGCTTTATCTAAATCAGTATGCCTTTGAAGTGTATGGGGAAAATCTCAGCTTGGTTAACACATGCTTGTTGCATATTCTTCTCCACATCGAAGGAGGGGCGAACTATTTATGAGTTTACATTGTACAAATCCCTGTGCAGTGGAAGATGGTATAATTTTGGGTTTATACTCCAGAGTGGGGGTGCATGTCTGGGGAGCTGGGGTTATCTTGGCTGTAGCCTCTCTATTGTTGTTTCATGCAGTGGCTGGCTAGAGCTTTCATGCAACTGCAGCTGGGTGTGTCCCTGCCTGTGTGAATGCTAGGGGGAGTGTAAGACCTGGAGCGGTATACAGTTTGTCACAGCAGCACAGTGTGAGAGGGAGCCCAGGCTGGTAAGTCACAGGGCTCAGTAGTACCCCAGTTCCAGGTGGCACTCTGGGGGAAACCCATCACAGTCAGGAATACATGTCTGCATCACATCTCAAAGAACCAGTTATAGTAAGTAACTGTTTCTTCTTCATGTAGATGCAGCTGTGTATTCCACTGGGGTGACTCACAAGCAGTACCCATAGGGGGTGGGGCTCAGAATCGATTTAAACAAGGATTGCAGGTCTGCCTTCCCAAAGTTTGCATCTACTCTGGATGCTGCAGTAATGGCATAAAGGTTGATAAAAAAATGTAATCAACAAACACGTGCATCCCTGCACATGTCCAATGCTGAGACATCACTTAAGAATGTCATTGACGTAGCTTGCGCTCTCATAGAATGAGCTTGCATCTGTTGAGGGGGCATAGTCAAAGGTATTTCGTGTGCAGCCTTGATACAGGAAGTTATCCATTTAGAGACCATCTGTGAAGAGACCACCTATCCCTTCATATGATCTGCATATGACACAAACAGATGAGGTGAAACATGAAAGGGTTTAGTCCTGTCCAGATAGAAGGCTAGCCATCATCTGACTTCTAATGTGTGAAGGCGCTGCTCCTCCAGAAATGAATGTGATTTAGGAAAGAACACAAGCAAATATAGCTCCTGGTTCAAATGAAACTGAGAGACTGCTTTAGCCACAAATTTCAGGTGTGACCGCAACTTCACTGTGTCTTTGGAGAGTTGCATGGAAGGAGGCTCTGCCATCAAAGCCTGCAATTCACAGACTCTCCTTGCTGATGTTATCATCACCAGGAATGCAGTTTTTTGACAGAATAGGGGAAAGAGACAAGATGCCAAAGGCTTGAACAGAGGTCCCATCAGAGCCACTACGACTGTATTAAGGTCCTGCACCAGTGGATGGAGACGAAGAAGCTCTTTTAAGAATCTTGCTACCATAGCACTGGAAAATACCGGTCTTCCATAAATGGAAGGATGAAACGCTGAAATTGCTGCCCGATGCACCATCAATGAGCTAAGCGTAAGGTGCAGCAAATACTCTGCAAATACTCAGCAAATACTCCAAGATATCCTGGACACAAGCCAGCATTGGCTGAACTTCATGGGCCAACAACCACATTGAAAACTACTTCCATTCTGCTGAAGAGGCCATTCTGGTAAAGGGCTTTCTGCTGTTGAGGAGCACTTGTCAAACAACTGCCAAACACCCTTCTCATTCACCCACAGAGCAGCCACACATCGAAATGCAGGGAGCTGAGCACAGGATGCAAAATGTGATCATGATCCCGTGTGAGCAGGTCGGGCTAGAGAAAAAGAGGTACAGGAGGCTGAACTGACAACATGAGAAGTCAGAAAACCAGCACTATCTCGACCATGCCAGAGCAATGAGGATGAGCTTGGCCTGATTTGCTTTCATCTCAGAAATGAGCCGTGGAATAATTGGGCTTGGAGGAAAAGTGCATAGGAGAGCCAATTGTCAGCTGAGGTGGAAGGCATTGGACAATGAGCCTGAACTGAGGCTCTCTCAGTTGCAGAACAGATGGCATTTCCTGTTGTCCTTTGTAGCAAACAGGTGAATCATCAGGATGACCCAAGCTGCGAATATGACTCGCAAAGCACTGGGCTTCAGAGACCACTCATGACTCAGGTCAAAATTGCTGCTGAGATGTTCTGTGAGATTATTTTGGACCCCAGGCAAGTGATTGGCTATCAGAGTGATACTCTCCTCAATGAAG